TGCTTCATTCGTTAAATAACGTGTTTTACAGATTATTTTTGTTACTATAGATGTCTGTTTATTTGTGAATTAGCGAATAATTTTCATTCGAGATTGGACAAGACGTTATTTCAAAGGATATAGACAAAAAAATTTACAAAATACAACGGTCTCGGACCTCATTTCCCACGCGCGATCCTTCAGAGAGCGAATAAGACGTTGAGAAAATTCCGTTTTCTTGTCAAAAGCGTCAACTCGAATTACAAAAGTTAACAGCGATTCATTGACGACCGAGAATCCACATATTGAACTGAAAGTTAAATATGTCTCTCAAAAAACATCAATAAAATTGGACTGAAGGAGCAATTTTTTCCCTTTTTACGGTCAATTTTAACACAAACACCTACATAATGATTAATAGGCATAAAAATTTGTTTATTTGTGATAATAAAATTTGTAAGTATGTATTATGAATTCTTTGTTAGTTTAAAATCGATTTGCGCACGGTCCTCATTCAATATTAACTTTTCGATAAAATCAATTTTTTAAACAAAGGAAGTTTGTACATTTCTTATCTCTCTGTAAGTCACTACAATGGAAGCAAAACGTAATAACAAATAAAAACCAGTTAATTAATTATACCCCAAGATTAATGAAGGTGGATCTAGGAAAGCTAGGTTGAAAATCTGAGTTCATGCATTAAAAGCCTCCCTGACAGTTAGTCAGCACTCAAAACTATCACCTAAGGTGATACACAATTCAAAATGTGTCTAGGATTGCTTGAAATAAATGGCGGATGTCAGAGACAATGGTGTCCAATAGTGAAGGCATAATCAAATTGAAGTCGTCAAATGGTTAGAATATTTCCGATCATTCAAAAACTCGATTTTATATCGAGATACGAGATACGAGTGACGAGGAAGAGAGCGATTTAGTCGTTTTATTTTCAATCAAACCGCCAGAATACTTGGTTCAGGTCACTCGTTGTCATTTCAACCTAACATTTAAAATTCTAAAATAATCTAATAAAAAAATCTAAATTTTTATATGATTAACATTGTCAAAAACCATTATATTTCGAGGTCCGATTGACCAAATAATTTCTTTTAATTAATTAATCTTTATGTATGGTATTGGTTGAAATGAAAAAGTCAGTGTCACGAGCGGGATTTGAACCCACTTCATTTCAACCAATAGATTACATAAAGATCAATTAATTAAAAGAAGTTATTTGGTCAATCGGACCACAAAATATAATGGTTGAAATAAATGATGATTAGTGACTGTTAGTCGATAATTATTCAGATATCGTGAGATGCGGTCTGGTGTGATGTAGGTTTCAGAAAAACATTTGCTTTATCGTGCCAACGTTTCGATCTTTATTGAGATCATCTTCAGGGCCTGGGATTAATAAGAGTTGTTTAAATTTAACAGGACCGCGGTAGCCGAGTGGTTAGCATGAGAGACTCTCACGCCGCGGTCGTGGGTTCGATTCCAACCGTCGCCTCTGGCCCTTTTTTCCCGATAACCCCCAATTTTGAACACACAAGAATTCGTACCATGGCTAATATGCAAGATCATAAGGCCAATTAAAAAAAAAAAAAAAATTAACAAATACATGTAGGATGAGGAAAAAAGTGAATTGATACAATGCAAAAAAAAATATTATTTACTAATTACTAAATTACTTCCCCTATCCTATAAAGTTGTAGGCTGTTAAATGTTAGGATACAAGTTAGGTATGTCAGCACGAATTGAAGCGTGTCTTTGTTAGTACTTTTCGAGTGCATAGATAGCATTTTGTTGCACAAATTGTTTTAAAACTTGAAGTAAATTTGATTTGAAAAAAGGCACCTGATCGGTTCGTATTCAGGTTCGATCAAGTCCTCTGGGCCTGTGTTCCTAAAAAAATTATTCAGGATTGGGCCCGTCTTGTTGAATCAAGGAATTTCTAGCAGAGCGTGGTCAATGAAATTAATTAAATAATATTGATAATAAAAAAATATCAACAAAAAAAATAGTTCCACTAATATGTGTGGCTCGGAAGAAAGTAGTCGAAATGATGTTAGGGAAGAACCTGATGTTGAGGATAAAATAGGGAGTTTACCTTTCCATTCGAATGAATACATCGAAATTATAGAAAAGAGAATTTTAAAATTCTTAAATGATAGCCCCCAAATCCGACAAAGAATTCCTAAAAAAACAGCAAACCTTTGTCCCCTCAATATCGTCCCGAATTTTATAAACTCTAGAAGAAAAAAGAAATTTATTACAGATCGGGAACTTTTTCGCGGAGCCCCACCGCCGCAAACAGTAGAATTTAAAACCACAACAAGGCTTAGAATGCCCAAAAACTGTCGCGCCAAACAGTGGTAAATTTAAAAATAAGCCTTTTGCTCCATCAATGGCGATGGAACCTGCGCAAAGCCCAACCGACTCAAAGGAATGACCCCGACGACCATTTATTCCTAAATTTGTAAGCTCGCAATCGGAAAATGAAAACCCGCGACAAGATAGAAAATTGGAAGAGAAATTTATCAGGAGATCGAAGCCTAATCATTCCTTCTTAAATATAATAAATAAATTACCGTCATTAATATTAAATGATCCCGAATCTATTTTTAATTTTTGTGTGTATTGTATCCTCTTTTAACTCACTATAAATTGTTAACTGCGAAAATTCTTTTGTTTTATCTGAAAATAGCCACGGAACCGTAAGCTCCTTACTGTATAATGCCTCACAAAGAAAATATTAGTGACGTGCGATACCAATCGACATGAGAAAAGTATCGAGTATTTTCTTTCGATATCGAGTATTTTTGGTATATTGTCATTCGATACAAGCACTGCATCGAGAACTTTTTGTAATATCCGTAAACATACTCAAATAGATTTTTCATCGAGTGTTCAAGTAATGCTGAATTGTTATTTTCCATTCGAAACATACCTTTCATCAAACTGGGAGTTGACTAGTTACTGTTAGGAGCGCGTACATGCGGCACAAAGTTAATTGAGATTTCGAATTGGTGGTTGGTAACTCTGCTGATAATTTATAATTCATAATTCTTTCCTTAGTTACACCTCGCATTTTTAAATTCAGTAATTTTTTTTAAATTGTCTTCATTTATCGAAAAACTGTTCGCCTTCCTTCTCATAGGTAGATATATAATCATGTATCTTCCCAAAAGTAAGACATGAGGTTGTTTTACTAAGAAAACTGAATCGTCGGCATCTGGCAAACGGAATACGTCTAATCTTTTCAAACATTTAAAAAAAAAAAACCGTTGATCAATTTTCCCAAAACTAGATAACGATGAAATTGAAATATCAATTTTTTGACAGCTTTTCCTTGTTCTTACCTACGTATTCACTGTACGAAACCATGCGTACAAACATGAAAAAACTGCAAATTTATGTTTATTGTAACGCATTAGCGTATTTTACCCACAAGTCGATAGTGAGTAAGTTGATTATTTATAAATTAACGACAAAGTACTAATATGAATAAGTACTCATTAGTATCGAATAATTTCTATCCATCCTTCACAACAAATACTCAAACAACAGAAATAGGAACGGTTCGTATTGTTATTGAGCGATTCCTTATACCCTAAATATTTGCGATTATTGGTACAAAATTAAAATGTATACCATAAGGCTGCACTATAAGGAAATAAGTAAAAGAGAATTGATTCTGACCAACAGAGCGGCTACTTCACATAATTTCTTTCTTCAGACAGTGTCTCAAATTCATCCTGTCGATCAAAGAAGCACAAACAAAACAAAGGATACCGAAAATTCATGTCGTCAGGCCTGGAAACTAATAAAACCTTTCCGAATCGATAGATCGAAACCGAGAAAGAAAATACGTCCGCGGATATGACAGACCAGTATCATCGTTGTCGGAATCTGAATCAAATGTTCTCGGAAAACCTAAATTTTTTAAAAAGAGAAGATCTGGTAATTATGTAAATAAAATAAATATATTTAAAAAAAATAAATATATATTTTTGGCCATTTGGCTACCCATGTTTTACCGACAATTCTCCTACATTGTACCATTGATATTGTGCCTTTCCTGTATATGTTATTAATACGACCTTTNATAACACTAAAAAAACCAACTCTAAAACCAGATGTGTCCAAACAGATGATATGTTTTTCTAGAATGGAACGGCAGAAAATTAAAAAACCCGTGAACATATACTAACTTAAGCAATACAAAGAAATTTGGTTCAGAAAAATCACAACGATTTAAAAAAATAAGAATGGTCATTCATGCCAGTTTTGATATTGAAGGTTACCAAATTTAAGTAAATAAAAATGTATACAACTACGTAATAAATTGCTATTTAATTATGCTTCTTTTACTCAATAAATAATATTTATCAACTTTGGATTTCTTTTTGACAGCTTTGTTAAATGAAGAAGTTCGAAGAATGGTAAATACGTAATTATATTTCAAATTTACCAGTAATTAACAATGAACAGTAGACCACAAAATAAGCTTGTTCCTTAACAATTGAGTTTAGTTCAATCAATTTCGTAGAAAAATACAAACCTTATCTATATGTATAACAAAAGTCTAGGCACAATAAGATATTTTTTTTAACTTCATTTATTTGTATCTACCCTACATGTAATACATGCAACCAGCAGAATGGATAATTTATTGTTTGCGGCATAACGACCGTTGTAGAGAAAGCCTTTCTGGATTAACAAAATGATAATAATCCTTTAAGAGGTCTCTTATCCATATTCTTTTCAGACGTTTACGTGGTGATTGTGGGGAATGAAGTAATGGTATTTTTGTGTTAGTGTGATTTTGTAATTTACTATGAACACATTTTACCCAAAATCGTGTTGACTGTAATGAAACTAATTGTTAAGATTCAATACCTAAGGGTTAATTTATTAATTGTATACATTTTTGGTTTTAGACGCTTTCAGTAAGTCAGGCTTATGTATGTGCTAAACTTATTAAAATAAGAATATAGAGTTACAATAGAGAGAAATAAGTGTTTAAAAAAGTGAGAAAACGGCAGCTTTATTAAATATCAACGTTTTAGGAATCGAAGGACGACTTGCTACGTTGTGGAAAGCGGTTGAATTGTATTGTCGAACGTCGAAATTCTCTTTCTCCAACGGTACAGATGATTAAACAAGCGAAAATGCTGCACGCTAATTCAAAGCATATCAGTACAAAACAAAAACTACCGATCACGAGAAATTGTCCATTTATGGTAGCGATTATTTGGTTATAGCAAGACACTTGGAAGGCCGTCGTAACATCACACGTTGGAATGTTATTCTCGCAACAAGTTTCCGGTAGTTTTTCAGTCTTCCAGCCACTTAAATTGTATGCCCCGCAGCAGTGGAAAAAGTCTTGGATGATGTCTATATTGCTCTCGTACTTTACAGGATCGCCATAATACGTGTCCAGGAAGATTTTCAATTGTTTATCCGCCATAGAGTACATGATAAACGCTGTAATTCCTGTACCGACTTTTAGAAAAATAAGGAAGAAGAGGATTGTGACGTATATATACAAGTACGTTTTGGTTCTCCTAAGGACTCCTAAGACGCCGATTGAAGATACTGTGATTATAAACAGAGATGTAACTATAGTAATGGCAGCGAGGATCATCACATAATTCTCGAGCACATTTTCTAATTGTCCACCGCTGATTAAATAATTCACGCTACACACGAGTAAGATTATTCCAGCCAATAGACACACGACGTTTAATACTAGAAGAACAAGTTTAATTGGAACTACCATCACATTCCCGCATTTACCCATCTTGAAAAAAAATTGATAATTTCAAATGATGTGTAAGACTAGAGAGACAGCTGGCTGTTCAATTTGCTTGCAAGTAATGTCGTATGCAAACAGTTCGGCTATCTTGGAAGTACAATCGCATCAAAGTAAACACTGTAAATTTTTGTGTACTAACATAACACCAAAAAACAAAAAAAAAACTCTAAACAAGATGTATCCACATATGGTTTGTTTTGGCTAGAATTAAACTGAATGAAAATGAAAAAATCCGTAAATGCAAGTTACGCAATACAAACAAATTCGGCACAGAAAACTCAGAACGATTTTTAAAAAAGAGAATGGTCGTTCATGCCATTGTTTTGATATTGAAAATTACCAATTTAATATAAAAAAATTATACAAAAACGTGATAAATTGCTATTTCATTATGCTTCTTTTACTTACGCATGTGTATTCAACAAGAAATTTAAAAAAGAAAAAAAGAAAAAATTTACCAAATAAATAATATTTATCAACATTGGATTTCTTTTTGACCGCTCATTTCTTTGTAGTGCATTTAGTTTTCGATAAGATCATTGTTGTTTTGAGTTCATTACGCGGTCTATATCTAGTGATAAACATTGTACTAGTTCTGACTCCAAACATTCACAAATAAACTAATCTATCCTCTTGCCACCAAAGCTGTCATTTATTCATTCAAAATACTTAATTTGGAAGGCCAAACATCCTATTTTAAATTATAATTTTTTTCCTTTATTTAAATAGAACTTCCAATTTTTGTTCCATAATTTAAACATTTCCCATTAGCCGGGAACACACTTAGCCGATGCTACCCGACGCAAATCCAAAGTCCATTTTTACATAAGATTGTATTTACCCCCGTGCACATCTGCCCGATTCCACGCAACGCTACCCTACTCTACGATCTGCGATACCCACTGTCCAGATTTTCGTCGGGTAGTCGAAGACAAAAGAACCTGACACTCATATTTTTATTTAGACTACATGCATTATTGTCGTTATATTAATTACAATATACTTATTTTAATATGAACTAAATTAACCGAGATCAATAATTCATGAGTTTTTATAAAAAATTATTTAATTATGATGGTTAGGCATAAAATTTATCAAAATACCGGAATAACTTTATTTAAAGCAATTAAATTTAACTAACAACTTATTACAAGGTTGTGCTCATAAAACTTAATAATAATGGAATAATACTAGAAACAGTATTAGCATGAGCATAGGCTCATCGTTACCCTTTCATTCTCCTATTAAAATATGATAAATAAACTACTTAACAATAGTTAGAAACAAAAACACAATAACACTTCTTTTTCTTTATCAATTTTTTTTCTTTTTTTCTGGAGGGAACTATTTTTCTTACTTAACAGCGGTTTTTGGCATTGAAATTTATTTCGCCGCAATTCTATTTTCTTCTATTTCATTTTTCCGCCCCGGCAGCCTCCAAAATTCCTGAAAAAAGAAAGAAATCTTGCACGCACAACTTTCATTCAAACACTAGCAGACATTCATTTGTATAACATTTTGGGAAAAGGCCTACATCTCATTATAAATTCCAATCATTTTGAAGAAGCTGAAAAGTTCTGTTCGAAACAAACACTGGGGTATGTAACTCCTTTAAATCTCTCGAAAGGTTGACCCTTTTCATAAAGGGTTCCAAAGTCCGACAGTCGATCAAAATATGTTTTACAATCAGAATGATACGTTCTCCACTTCGCATACATCGAGGACTAGTTGGTGGCTTGTTGCCTATTAAAAGCCTATTATGGATTAGCCTGAGGTAATCGATAATTTATTTACAAATTTAGTTTGTACTCTCTCTCATTTTTATCACAACCACTTGCTCAAACGCTAAAACACCAAGTCGCTACAATTGAAGCAAAACGTAATAACAAATAAAAATCAATTAATTGTTTACACCGTAAGATTAAAGAAGGTACAATTTGGTGGCAAATCGACGGATATAAGAAATCTAGGTCTGAGTTTATAGCAATAAAAGCCTCACTGACAACCAGCACTAAAAGTTATCACCTAAGGTGATGCTAGGTCAAGATGTGTCTAGAGTCTTCAAATACATGGCGGATGTCAGTGACAATGGTGGACACTTGGCTCAGATCACTCGTTGTCACATTAGCGTAACGTAATAGAGTACCTTTTCATAACACATTAAAATGATTCGGAATGAACGAATATTAAAGCTAACGAGCAATTTCAATGGCGCACAGCACAATTGTTCACTGAAGATGGCGCAAAGCCGAAACCCGTTTGAGGAACACCAAAACCTTCGATAAGGTTCAAAATGTGTTCACCGTTCCTCACTTAAATGCCTGGAAACTTCGAGGTCACCAGGGGTGGTGAGTAGGCAAACAGTGCCAAGAGTGGAGAAGGCATCTTTAATCTCGGCTCTGAACCCAACAATTCCCTAATGTGTCAAAAAAAGACCAATTTAAAAAATCCAGTTCAAGTCCTGATGGATCGATGCCTCATCCTTGAAAAGTGATCCGCAAATACACGACGTGGTAAACTCCAAGAAGAATTGGTGCGACGAAAATATAATCCGTATTCTGGTATATCTCTTGATTGTTTCCATCGATGTTTTCCTATGTTTCCTATCTGCCATATAAGCGTATTGTTATAAGAAGAGTTGTGCAACGTTTGTCCAGAAGAGGAAGAAACCTCAGAACACTGCCTTCAAAAAAGAACCAGTAGCCATAGATTCATGCAACATAATTAGAACAGATAATACAATACCAATGATTTATGTACCATGTCTGATAGACAAGCAGCCATTTGAGCACTAAACTCTAACACCACTCGAATATGATACTGGTTTTTAAGAACGAAATAAAATACGATAAGTGAACAAAACAGGTTTTCAAGCCGTACTGGAATAAAGAAAACGATGAATTCCCGTCACTAGAAAAATTTTGTTGTTGGCTGATGATATCAAAATTTTGAAAGCAATTCTTGGCCCAGACGCCCCAATTGCACTTCAAAAGGACATAGACTCCTTTGCCTCTCAGACGTCCTCAATGGCAATAATTACGTCCAGGGTATGGAATAAGAAAGGGATGTATATATTGTACTTTATTGAAAATAAATACTAATTACTATTAGACTTCTGTGCACATTGGTGTTCTGCTAATAATCTTTCCCTTAACCCAAGCACATGCAAATTCATTCGTTTCTCAATGTTACATCACAATCCTTTCGCCTTCCATTACGCCATCAAATCAACGTTGAGCTTGTTGTTGTTATTAGATGACTTAGATGTTACATTTACGGGTGCATTTTTTACACTCATATTGATACAATTTTTATAAAAGCAAGCCGTAACCACCGATTTATTAAGAGAATAACTGCTAATTTTATTCATCCCTTCGCTTTAAATGCCTTAAATCCTTAGTTAAACCGCATTTGGCATATGCAGGGATTATGTGGGACCCTGAAACAAATGCGATATCATACATTTGGTAAGGGTTCAGAACGTAGAGAGATGTAGGCGGAGAATGTATTTTCTCCAGGAGTACTGGTCATGAATTAAATGAAGAATATTCTTCCTTCCGCACAAACTTCAAGTTGGTTCGAGGCTCGAAGTAAAATTACAAAGTACGTCTAGAGACACAAGAAGAGACTGAATCTTAACGATGACGCCGAAGTTTAACTAGGCATTGGATTTGTAGATTCTGTAAGACGTCATGGAAACATTAGCACTATCAGATTTTGCCGATACACTTCTTTACTTCAAGATCCTCAATTAATTAGAACTCAATTTTTGTTCTTTATTTATACAACAAGGCAAGTAACAGGTCTTAAATGGCGCGTTTTATTAATCTTCTGAAATTACTGTCAATATACAAAATAAAATAAACCTGAAGCAATAGCGAAAAAAATATTTCGTTACTGACGAAGACAGGCGATGCTCACACCAAATTTCACTTGATGTTAACAGTAGATATTTTGAAATGGCTAAACGGCATCGGACCGAAAATGTAAGGATAAACAGGTCAGAATTACCTGAAAAGTCAGACCAAACTAATAGTTCATCAAGAAAATCATGAAAAAATAATATCACATATTTGAAATTTTGTGATTCAATAAATGATCTCATCAAAATGTTGTTTGTTTTAATAATAACGTGATGTCCCAGAAAGAAAAAAAGCACAGTTGAGTGCAACCAGATTTTTGGTCCACACAAATGCTTACGGGGCATGGAAACTTTGCAGTTTATCTGCACAAATTCAAGAGAGCTAATAGCCCAAACTGTCAGTTATGCAATGTTCTTGAAGACGTACGACACAAGCTATTCTTCTGCCCAAAATTTGTACAACTTCGTCAAGACCTGCGAAACTGCTTTCACAATAGCCTCCAGAATTGTAGGAACTTGTGACAAGCGAACAACGTATCAGGTGTTCTAACAGCTTACACGGAGCATCCTAGCGGGTAGTAAACTAAGTACCTGAATAAACTTTCTAAACCATACCTGTGATTAAACTGTGGCATATTTAAATGTGTAACTTTAGTTCAGACAATTCCGGGGTGGTTACTTCTTTAAAAATAGGTTAACATTGTTATGCAGTACCGAACACTGTGATTGTTCTTAAATGCTTAAACTATTATATTTATATAATGTTGTAGTTTTATATAATTTTTAAGTTTGTAATTTTATGTAATGACTATATAATATTATTTTACGAAAAGGGATAACCATCAAGGGGGAAACCTATTAGATTAGGTCAGTTTAAATAATACAGAGAGGAAATATATATGTAACGTTTCGATTTGAATGTACCGCCATGCCCCTCCACACACATCTGACAGTTAAAGGAGTAGGGGCTAGGAAAGGGCTATTTTTTCAATCAAAAAAACAATTCCTTTTCTGTCTTCCATGGGTTAAGAGCTATCTATTTGTAATAAAGAAAAATTTGGTGTGCACACAATTCAAGTGAGTAAATTTTATATTTTGACGTCAAAAAACTAAAAATAATAATTGTATTGTAATTTAAAAAAGGGTTGTCACAAAAATATATTTTTATAACGAAAACTAAGAGATAGCATTTGATTTTAAAAGTTATGTTAAAATATTAATTGTATTTTCTAATTGGTGGTCAAAAATTAATAATAATATTGTAACAGTAATAACAATAATAATAATTTCCTTTACTTTTCCTTTACTTTATAAAACGAGAATTAACGTCGATTTTAAAATTAATGTTTGTAGATTCTGAAATAGGTTTTATTATAGAATAAAAGATTCTTTAAATTAAAAATAATAAATAATAAAAGAAATTGTAATCTTTTTGAAAATAAATTGTAATAAAAGATTTAAATTTAATTAATATTTTGGTCTCTTATTTATTTTGGTTTGAATTGAATATTGGAATTTTGTATATCAAAAAAAGGTGCCTGATCATTAAATTAAATTAATGTAGTCAGGTCCGATCTAATATAGATAAGAAATATTATAACCTCTGGGACCTTGTTTTCGGTTCTCCGCCATTGGCCCAAAACAGAAGAGATACGCTTACACACATATATATATATATATATATACCCCTAACCTTCCTCGCCCCACTCGTTTAGAGCGATGCATAAGGAAGGCGTTATGCTTCCTTTTTCCTCCATACAAGAAATAGGTCAGTCTAGGTCCGCCGGTATGCCTCTGGTACGGTGGGGTGGTGGATGGGATTAAAAAAAATGATGTAATGATAAATGTATCAAATAATTATTATTTTTATATAAGGTCTTGGTTGAGATAAAAAAGTCAGTTTCATGAGTGGGATTCGAACCCACGACCTTATGAAGTGGCCACCGGGAGCTGTTAGTGAAGTGATACTTGTTTTACTTATTAAATATTAATCCATTTACGTTTTATTGGTCAACTGACCAAGTTACTTCTTTCAATTAATTATTATTTTTATATAAGGTCTTGGTTGAGATAAAAAAAATCAGTTTCATAAGCGGGATTCGAACCCACGACCTTCGGCTAAAAAAGCTGCTGCTCTAACCACTTGAGCTATCGTGAATTCGATCTTCTTGGAGACCAACTCTCTCCCTCAACCCACAACCGTTCGAATTTTACCTCTTTTTACCATTTTCAAATGTTATGTAATCAGGATTCGATTCTCAGCGACTTATGAAGTGGCCACGGGGAGCTGTTACTCTCTACTTCTTTTATTTATTAAATATCAATCCATTTATGTTATAGTGGTCAGTTGACCAATAAACTAAAATGAATAATGTTTAAAAACGAGCGATATTAAATTTATTGGACGGCTTTAACTGATACTTATCAGAAGTGGAAAGATAAAAGTGTACGCATTATTTGCTCACGTTCGTTGACTATGTGTAAAAAACTGCTTAATTACATTATTTATAAAACGATAACGAATATCAACTGTTTTATATTGCCATATGTTAGTAGAATTACTACTGATGTTACACATGTTATTTTAGTGAGTTTTCTTGCAGAATTACATTAGAAAAAAATGGTTATTGTTACTTCAGTTATTTTTCCAAATTTTACGAACGTTTAAGTGCAATGGATCTGTGCACTATCTCCAATTAACCTGCCAGCATTCAATCTTCGGAATATCACGCTATTTTGATACCGTCGTCGAACAATTCTGAAAGGTTTTCACGATGGTAGAAGCAGCGACGGTGATAGTATACCCTATTAAATTAGTCCTACTGACTTTCAACATTCTATGTATGTTGTTCGGAACTATTTTGTTCGTATTTAGCGTCATATATTTAATTTACGGCAATCAATTGACTAACCTGATAAGTCATTATTTGTCGATAATATGTATATTTTGCATGATCGGAGCTATGATAATATTTATAATAGCCTCAGTCGGCGTCGTCGGGGTTCTGAAGAAAAGCAAAGCCCATCTGCACATATACACTACCCTTCTTGTATGCATGGCAATTCTTAAAATCATTTTAGGAATTACTTCATTCGTTCTGTATCCTGTAGCCGATAAACATTTGAATAAAGAACTGGCACGTTGGTACAACGACACTCCGACGTACAAGGAGAGCATCAAGTACATTCAAGAAGCGTTCGACTGCTGCGGCTCGTTCAAACTAGAAGAGTGGGCGATAGAAAAACTTCCTAAATCGTGCTGTCCCCCCAAAACTGAAGTCTGTAACCGTACTTCGGCGTATCAGACACCATGCTACCAAGGCATTGTTAAAACAGTGAATAACTATTTCATCGTAATTGGCGCTTTATGTTTTTTAGTGCTGGCCGTCGAAGGACTTTGCACTATTTTCGCATGTTTAATAATCTGTAGCTTCGGGGAAGAAGATTATCGACGTTCTACTATACACATAGTTCGTGATCACCCACCGCCACCATTGCCGGCTGCTTAGATGGAGATATATTTTGTTATTAAACTGTTATTTCTCACTACATTTAAAAGCGTTTTTATTATGCATAAATTGCAATTGGTAGACTGAACATTTGTTATGGTACGTTCACTATTTTCTCACTTTAAACAGGGACTCGTTCAAATCCTCCTAGATGCAAATGATTAACGAGTAACCCAATAATATACCTTTATTCTGTAAAATTAGTTACTATTACGATATACTATTTGAGACGAAATGATCAAGAATCTTCTCAGTATGTTTTTCCCGGCTTAATTTCACTATAAAAATATAAATTGAGTACATACAAATACAATTTAAAAACACAATCTTTCACAATTTATATTCCTTTTAGACATTCAATATATCCAACCCCTTGTACAAAATTGCCTTAATACCAGGGATTCAAAGGAAGAAAAGAGCAATCAAATGTGACGATTCTTTATTAGAGACCCACGACCCTCTTCGGATCGACTTTCAATCGGAAGATTTATTTGTTTACCTAGGGCTTTTTTAAACTGGTATCAGTAAATTCATGATGCTCAGATTGAAAACAGTTTTAAACGAGGCGGGGACTAAGGTGAATCTTTTGTTTAGACAAGAGAAGAGAAATAGAGAGTGGCCATACTGGCCATTACGTTAGTAATATCCTTGCTTAAATGTAGCAAGGGATCCATCTGTAGAAGGAAAGCATAAAGATAGATAGATAGATAGATAGATTGAAAAAGAGAGAGGGTGAGGAAGAGGGAGGGGGAGCGGGTGAGGGAGAGGGAGAGTGAGAGCTCTATTTTAACTTCAATATTCCTCAAGCCGTTTGTAGGTCATCTTTAACCAATATTACAATGCGTCATATTTTAGGGATGAATTTACCCTAAATTAGAGAGAGACAGACAGACCGTCAGACAGAATGTTTATAGGCAATATACATAACGATAAACATTTCCTTTCTCCATAAATTAGGTCCATAAATTTACGATCATAGTTTAATTCATGCGAAAATGTAATTTTTAAAGAATAAATATTTATTATTTGTTAACCTTATCAGAGAAGACCGCAAAATGCCTAGGCAGGCCACAAGTATTGCTTTTACCATTTACTGTCAATTTCCTTAGCCCCTGGCTTTATAGATTTCAGTGCCATACTGGCCATAAGATTAGGAAAATCCTTTTTATACATAAATAGTATATTGGATTTCATCAGGAGAGGGAAGGAAGAGAGATAGATAAATATAGATAGAGATTGATAGGTAGAGAAAAAGAGAATCTTCATATCGGTTTTCACTTATTTGTCCGTTCTAATCCTGATATGCCGATTCATCAATGGGGCAAAATATGATCGATGATGATAATCGAAATTGGTACAGGTTAATAGAATCAAGTAAAAAATACCTTGTTTTAAATGTGTTAATTCATATTTTTCATATGTCTGTTTTCTCCTTGTGACATGACCGCAGCACGTCCTTTCATTGTGAAAGTCGCACAATCAATTACGACGTGATTCCATTATTATGTAACCTGGACAGACATACCTTCATTACCCAGTTTTTTTTTTTTTTCAAATCGTTCAATGTTCCTGAGGATTTCACACTCTTAAGGAATTTCTGATCTATTAACCTCTAGAAGAATCTATTTGCTTCTGCTTGGTGCATTGTTTTAACTTATTGACGACACAGCAAGAAACAACTTGATTCCTGCAATTCTTCAATTGCAGATGTTACACAATTGTAATAATCGAACAGTATAAGACTTTCAAAAGCACCCAATTAGAATCTAACGAAATGGTTCATAAATTAATACTTCATTTTATTATCTCATGCCGGTTGAAATTAATTAAAGATAAAATAATCGATATCATAAGATGAATTCAATTCCTCTAAATATTCAAATAGGATACTTGATTTTAAAGGGTATTTGTTAATTTTAATTTTATTAAAATCCTTATTAACATAGTTTTTATTAGGATATTGTTATTTTATACCATATATTGTAATGGTGGCCCCTAAGATCTGTCATAGAATAATAATTGCAATTATAATTGGCAATTGTGTTATTATTGAGGTCTTTCAACATATGTGTTTTGCATAATAAGCGCTAAGGAGAACTGCGAAGGCATCCTGCTAAGTACATTCAATAAACTTATTAATATATTTATTAAGCTTATTTTTTGAAAGATTTTAAATAACTGTGTGCACTTTGTACACGAATATACACATTACACATAGGGTTTTATGCTATATACACCAGGACACAACGCCATCGGCCAGCTCTGCACATGGAGGACCGTATTATAAATATTCAGCTGGCACTCAATCCATTATCGGGCGAATTGTTCTTTGGGATACCCATGTTTGGAGGTTCTTGGGGTGAGAGATAGTGGAAAAGGTTGAATAGTAGTATTATGATGGACTGAAATATTAGAATAGAGCATGAAGAAGCAGCAAGCAATTATTTAACGTAGAGAATGTTTCGTTCTTTGCTGATACTGTGGTAAGAAATATATTAAGCAGGGAACACACTTACCCGATGTGGTATGTGGCATGGGACGCTACTCGATGCTACCCGACGCCATGCCACGTTTTGGTAGGGTGTGCACATCTATACGACGTCAAGCGCAGGCCACGTACAATTACACAGTGTGTATCACAAATGATAGTGCGGATCGCGGAGCGTTGAGTAGGGTAGCGTTGCGTGGCATCGGGCAGATGTGCACGGGGGTAATACAATCTTATGTAAAAATGGACTTTGGATTTGCGTCGGGTAGCATCGGCTAAGTGTGTTCCCGGCTTTAAAGATCTGGGAGAGTACGAGAACGTTACATTTCAACGCTTGGGTAACGTATTAGATGGCTTCGTTTTACTACAAAGTACCGATACCCTCTCCGCTCTGTATGTCCAAATAAATCTAAGTATTGGTTTTACAGTGTTCTTTACTGTCATGTCATGTCTGATGTCTTCGCAGTCGTCTGTTGAGCATTGACGTTTTTCTTGTTTGGGGATTCCACCTCAGCCTGTTAATCAATCTATGGGCCTAAGTGTTTAACTTGAGTTGTTATCGCTTGTTCCTCGTGGTTGCCGTGTAGACTTTATTTTACGTGAATAATTTAGGTGAATTTATCGGCTCAAATTTGGAATTATCTGGGGAGGATTGGTAATAGGAGATCAAATCGCGGTATCGTCCGCGTCGGCAGTATAAACAGAGTAAAGCATAGGGCCAAGAATGCGCCCTTGCGGGACGCCGGCTTGGCTCGGTTTTGTCTCTGAAAATTCATTGCCGTACCGTAAATTGATTTGTTATCAATTCTTTTTAAATAAATGGCTCATTAAATTTGGATTTTGTTCTTTTATCAGATTAATGTTTCAAAAATGAGTTGTGCATTTTTCCTGGATTTTTTAAAAAGATACTGATGTTTATTGGAAACTAGTGTTGGAAGACCGTATATGATAAGAGAAAATGTTGGTATCAGAAACGGAATTCAAATAGAAAAGTTTGCGAGGATGATAGATGATCTAGCTAAAAACTTTATTTGTAAATGTACATAATACCATATATAATTTAAAAAAATTAAAAATCTTATTTGCCATTTTTTTCTGTCTAAGATGCATTGCAAGTTTCGGTAAAGAAATCTATACGGTTGATCAAAACAGAATTCATAACCACAATTGTTTAGATATCAAAAACATGGATTCAAAGAATACTAAAAAGTGGCCATCAATTTTTTAAACTATTTTTCCCAGCGAGGATAGACTAAAATTATCCGGTAATGACATAATCACTGGTTCTGCAGTTCATAGGCCACAAGAATTTTGTTTATTTATTTGTTAATATTTTTCATCCGGTCTGCAGCTTCCGTGCATTGTGTTTAATGGAATTTTAAAGGCGTATTTAATTGTCAGTAACAAGTAATTCGACTCTTATGAAGTAAATTTGATGGTTTTACAAATATTTTTCAACTTACTGATGGACAAAGCAGTTGTTTAGGTAGAAAAATTCCAACTGTATTAGCTGAAGATTATGCAGCTGAATAAACACGCAAAGCAGTGAAGAATTCCTGTTAGAACAAACAATTCTAACCTCGCTCCTTAGCATTTATCTACGTTATTTATTTCATTACGAAAATTCAATAATAAAAAATAACCAAAACCTTCTGTCTCGTTTTTGCATTTAAATCGTAGTACGAAGGAAAATTGAAGTTGAATAAAACTCATTAAATCACTTGTAAAATACAAATGATGATACATGCTACATTTTACATATTATTTACATATTTATGTTTTTGTTCAAAAATGTAAAATTCGTAATATAAATCAGCTAGAAACTATGTTTACTATATTATTTAGACCTATATCGACGCACTTTCAAGGTTTATAATGAGTTACATAAAAATTTTTGTGCATTCTGGTTGAAGGCTAATTCCTCATTTAATGACCTTTCAATGTAATTCAACAAGAAATAGTTAAGTCATTCAAGTATTTTCGAGCGATTATCGACATCGAATGCAATCTTTGAATCTGAGGCAGCGGGATGGCCGAGTTTAGACTTGTAATTTAAAAAATTGCTGGTTAGGATTTCTGGTTTGGAACAGGTTTCGGTTTTGCCGACCTGCTATATGGATAAACAACATCACATTTGTTAAAAGTTTTGTTTATAAAGAACATTTGTGTCTTGTTCAAATATCAACTAGATAACATTACACAAAAAAATATGTGCAAATATTGATATATCATTGTATATTAGAACAGAATGTTATGACACCAAAGTCAAATGTACTTTTTTGTGTCGCTTCCTGAGGCAAACGACCGACCGAACTTTATTTGAGAGGTCAGTCGTCCTAGACGTCGATTGCAGTGTCGAAGGTGAACGAACGGACTTGTATCTGGCGACCGTTAAAGCTCTTTTCCGGATCCGTTATTGCGTCAAGGCTGACACAGGTTCATCTGGCATTAAGGAGCCGAAAGGATAGAAGTAGAAACAATCTTGACTACATTCTCAGAGGTACATGATATGACTGTTAAGAATCTGAGGTTCAAGTTATCAGCCGAAGAAATAGTTGTGC